TTTTTAACATCCATCTGATACAATGGCCAAGAGTAACTAGCTGCAAGAGATAATAGTACCTTGATAGTAGTCATCTTTGCTACTGGTGCAAAAGTTTCTAAGTAGTCAATACCATATGTCTGAGTAAATCCTTTTGCAACTAATCAGGCCTTATACCTTTCAACAGAACCATCAGCATTATGTTTCACAGTGAATACCCATATACATCCAACCGGTTTCTTTCCTTTAGGTTGATCAACTATCTCCCAGGTATTGTTTCTGATGAGGGCATCCATTTCTACTTTTAACGCATCTTTCCATTTTGGTACTTCCAATGCTTCCTGAATTGTTCTGGGAATGGGAATATCAGCAATGGATGCGAGAAAAGACTTGTAGGAGGGAGACAAATGATCATAGAATAGGAACTGAGAAATGCAGTGAGCTATGGTGCAACGGCGTTTGCCTTTACGAACTGCTATGGGGAGATCAAGGTCACTGAATGAAGGTGAAGGCTCCATGGTTGGATGTCTCTCATCTGTAGTATCTGTGTAACAGTCCTGCTGAAACAACTCTATTGGGTCTTCCAGAGAGTAAAGAATAACTTTAAAACAAGGGAGACAAATCTGATTACCTCCCTGAAATAATAATAGTCCTGAATCTCGAGGGTTTTTCTCTTAAACCCCAAAAGAAAATATAGAAAGGAGAAAAAACTCTGACTGTACCTCTTAGATCAAGTTATTCTTGTTGTCGATCTTAAGAGAGATTGAAATCTCACCAAGGAARGAACTACTGAAATTATGATCGTCTCTTCCAGTCTTGAAGGCTGATCTTGAACCAAAATTCCTTTGAAATTCTGATATCGAACCAAAATTCCTCTGAAATTCTGATAGCCGCCTCCAGTCTTGATCAAGAACTGATCTTGATCCTCTTATCCTTCTTTGATTCTTCCTGGTTATYAAGGATCGATCCAATCTTTGGACTATTGCTGTAGATAACCTCCAAGAATCAGTCGAAGAACTGATCTTTCTATTTTTCCAGCCCTAGGCAATTCTCATGTGGTCGGCTGGATCAAAACCACATGAGAAGCCCTAGATCTTTCTCCGATACCAAGTATTCATACAAGACTAC